AGACCTAACCTCAGCCCCTTTGAACCAGGCTCCCTGAGGCCGAGAGGCTGAACGGGCCCGGCCTCCTTTTGAACTATTTTGCAAGTCTTGCTTTACTGTCACTGAGGATCCCCCCAGAGGGCTCCCCAGCTCCCCAGAGTCCTGCAGTGGACCCAGGCCTGCAGCAGTGGCACAGCTAGGGGGGCGGGCTGGGGAAGAAGCCGGCACGGGAGACCCTCCCCCTGTTCTTTGGGGAGGGGGACCGGCTCTGCTCTCCGACATCTGGAAGGGAACCTGCCTGGTCACTAACAACACAGTGCTCCGTCCTTTGAAGGACACAGAAGTGGTCAGAGGTCGTGGACTCAGACTCCGAAGTGCCCTGCTCCCGCCGGTGTCGGGTTGACAGCAGAGCTGACCAGCACCCCTTCCGTGTCTTTGGCCAAGTTACTGACAGCAGCACGGGGGGCAGAAGCGCTGGGGCCAGAGCGGGGCTGCAGGACCGTCCAGCCCCGTGGCCAGGAGAGCAGTGACCAGCCCAGAGGGCTCGCCAGGCACCTTGAGGCTCTGCAGCCTCCCAGGGGTCCAACCAATCCATTTCCTAGGACATTCCCAGTTTGAGCATTGGAAGTCCTCCCTCCCGAGAAGCCCCCCGACAAACCACGTCAGCTGGTCACTTGCTTGTCCTTGGAGGCACAGAAGTCAAGGCCAGTGTGAAGAAATGAGACGCGACTGAACGTCGCTGTGACTGCGGCCGAGTCTGGAGAGGCTGCCGCCGCCTGGTGCTCAGGAGCCTGCGCCGCACGGGAGACGCAGACGCTGAACTGACTTCACCGGCAGCGTTTCCGAAAGGCTTGGGCTGGCGCCCGTGAGGGGCCGGCCAAGCTGGGCTGGTGGAAGGTCGGGTGGTCCCCCTTCACCTTCTGACAGGCCAGCTGCGTGCCGACTGGGGTCCTCCTCACCAGCAGAAACACGGCTGCAGAGGTGCAATGCCCAGCCTTTGTTTTCATTTTTTTTATCCTCACCTGAGGACAACTCTGCATTTATCTTCACATAGAGCAGGAGGGAGAGAGGGAGAAACATCGACGTGAAAGGGACACATCGAGTGGCTGCCTCCCGCACGACCCCGACCAAGGCCGGGGACAAACCACAACCGAGGTCCATGTCCTTGACCAGAATCGAACCCACGACTCTTTGGTCCACAGGCCAATGCTCTAACCGCTGAGCCACACCGGCCAGGGCCAGGCTCTGATCTTCTAAGAAATGGCTCATGGACAGTGTAACGACGTCCTGATGGGATGGTAAGAACTGCCCTGACGCTGGGCGCTGGGCCACGCAGGGTGACCACCGTGGGGTTCAGGGCGAGCAGCCGAGTCAGGGAAGCTTGTAAGGTGCCAGGATGGGGAAGCAGGACCGTACCCTCGACGGGGACAAGGGCGGCCGACCTGGCCGGCTGAGCTGGTGGTGCTTGTGTGACCTCCCCCCTCAGCCTGATGTGTCCTGCTGAGAACACGCCCTGCACGGGCCACCGCCGGTGGCGTGATTCCGGCTCCGTCGCTGCCACCGAGGTCTAAACATGGCTCTTTTGGTCTTTTCTGGGAACAGTGGACAGGGGTTAAGGAAGGGCGTTTTTGAAAAGAATGCAGCTAACCCAGAGGAGAAATGGCAGGGTCAGAAGGAAGCACGTGCGACCCCAGGCCGTGGCCAAGTCTGGGGGGATCGCCAGGCTGCCTGAACAGCAGGTGGGATGCAGTGAGCAGGAAGCCCGTGTTCTGCCTCGTTTATTCTCCTTGTAAAACGTCCCAAACTTCTGGTGATTAATTTCCCTTAAGAATGACGAAGGTGCCCTGACCGGTTTGGCTTAGAGTTTGGGCACTGGCCCTTGGACTAAAGGGTCATGGATTCAATTCCTGGTCAAGGGCACGTACCTGGGTCGCAGGTTCTATCCCCGGCCCCGGTCAGGGTGCGAGTGGGAGGCAACCGGTCGCTGTATTTCTCTCACATCGATGTTTCTCTCTCTCCCTCTTACTCTATTTGGAAATCAATGGAAAAATAACCCTCGGGTGAGGGTTAACAAGAAAAAGACAGACAGACACCTGGACAGCAAATCTGGTGGCGCTGACAGAAGGAAGCACCTGGCCAGCGACCCGAGCTCCTCTGGACGCTCACTCACAGCCCAGCCCAGGGCTCCAGGGGCCGCCCAGCTCGCCTGAGACCTGCACGGGAAGCGTCAGGAACAGGGGTGCTGGTCCCAAGGAGAGACAGACAGGAAGTGGCGGGTCCAAAGTCGGCAGCGTTCTATTCAGGAAGACGCATCTCTAGAAACTTGACTTAGGAACCACGGGCGGCACTGACTCCGGCCTGTCTGCCAGGCGAGGCTGTGTGGGCGCCTGGTGCTTGGAGGGCACCACAGGCACAGGAGGCTGTCCTGTCTCAGGAGAGGCAGGCTGGTGGCTTAAGAGCTGAGTGGCACGACCTTCCGATAGTTCTGCTGAGGCGTGTCCACAGGTGTGCGCGTGTGTCTGTGTGCACAGATGTGCACAGATGTACATGTCTGCGTGTACAGATGTGTGTGCAGAGACACAGATGCCTGCATGTACAGAGACACGTCTGCATGCACAGAGAAGAAACGTGACAAGTGTTAAAAACTGGCGTGAAGAAGTAAGAGGAAGAACTTGTCCTCTCTCTGGAAATGGCTGCAATAACGAGAGATGAGCAGTCTGTTGTATGTTTCTACAGAGAGTAGTTTTTAAAACGCCTTCAACTACTTTTACTCGGGCCAGAGCTGAATCCTTTCTTGGGTCTGCATTCCACGCCGCCCTGGCCCACGCTCTGGTCTCAGGGCCGGAGGGGCAGCAGGTCTAGGCGAGGCGGCTGCCAGGCAGACGGGAGCACGGGGCAAGGAGAGGGGTCTCAAGCTGGCCCCTGGAGCAGGAGTGAAGGCACAGACCACACTGGGGCAGGCAGTCTTCTTCAGATACCTCCCTCCACACGTGGGGGACTGGGAAAGCGTCGACCTGGTAACCATGGGGGCCGGCGGCCCATACATGCTCATTTGGACATGCTCAAGGTCAGCGAGCCTGGCTCCGGCAGCCCAGACACACCGGCATTGTTTCCTAGGAACACGTGGTCTCGGTGTTCCGGGTCCCACATCCCTTTCATCACCTTATCACGCAAACCCCATTTCTCATCTGTCCAGCTCCAAGGTGCATGTCACCGTGGGAACGCGGCCCTCCCGCCGGCCTGTGAGTGCCGCACACGGTGCAGGGCAGGGTGAGGAAGGGCAACGCTCCCGCTCCCAGGCCGCGGTCACGTCCCAGAAAGTCCCGGTTGGACCAGCGTCCGTGACACCCGCGCCCACTGTGCGGGAACCCCGAACCCTGTGTCAGAGATGAGGCCCTCGAGAGGCCCCCGGTGGGAACCTGCCTCCACCGTTCCAGCGTGCGGTGCCTGGTGTGTCCCGGAGTGGACTCTACGTGCCCCAAAGCCAAGTCCACGTGTTCCCAGCCCCTCGTGTGGGCCCTGCTGTGTTGTCGTCGGAGTTGCCCCCCCCTCACATAACTCACCCTCCTCCAGGGTCCCCAGGTCACACTGGGAGCTGGCAGGTCTGCGCCCCGACCCCGGCCTCCGCAGGCTCCGGAGCCAGACCCTGACGTGGACAGAAGCACCATGTCCTCGGAAACTTCCCAGCTGCTTGCCCCCACCCGCCCACTCACAGGCGCCCCCTTCTGACGAGCGTCCAGCAGGCACGTCTCTGGAAATCTCTTGGCCCGTGGGGTCACTTCTGACCATCTAACTGACCGCGGCCAGCATCCCATGTGCCGGTGACCTCTGTCTGCAGGAGATGGGGCCTGCACCAGAGACAGCCGGTGCTGACAGTCTTTCCTGCTGCGGAAGGCGTGTGGGGTGTTGTGGCACCCTGCGATGCGCTGCCCCGCCCAGCACACGTTCCTGCGAGAGGCCCCGACGAGATGCAGGCTGTCGGCACATGGCACACGGCCGGCCTGCTGTCCAAGTGGTAAACCCAGCATTGAACTCTCCACATCTCGTGCACCTTTCGAAACTTCACCCCTCAGTTCAGAGACACGGAGACACTCAGGACCCTGTTGCATCTCTACCCACGAGTGGCAGCGGGTCACAAAGGAGAGGGGCCTCTCTCGGCAGGGCAGCTTTCTGAGGCGGCCATGTCACGGGTGTGTGGTGTGCGGAGATGAGCCCACACGTGTCGTGGTGACTGCAACAACTGAAGGTGACATTCAGGGCGAGTCTGCAGCACGGAGGAGGGTGAAGAACATCCGGGGCTGACACAACGACATGTCACCATGGCAGACGCAGGCACAGGGTGCTTGATGTTTCAGGCACCTGCGTGTCGGGAAGGGGGTGGTCCTACTGGGTCCCTGCTCCCTGCCCCAGATCCCGACTCAGCCCGGCCCCTGGGGAAGCTCCTCCAAGTGTTTAGGACAGTGCACCACCACCTGAAGCCATGGGTGCGAGCTACCGACACAGGAGGACGTGCCGCATGAGGCCTGAGGTGCACGACCCCTGCACACCAGTCGCATGACGTCTGCTCAGCTCACGGTCATTGCCGACTTTCCCAGGACACTTGCAAGTGCTCACAATAACCGACGACAGTTCAGGCACCACAACTAGCGGGTGGTTTCTGAACTTGAACCAACATGTGATAAAGGTAGATGCGCCGTTTCTATACATACGCCCTCTAGTGGCCCATCTCGTCCATGGAAACACGAGAACGCACCGCCCAGGTTGGCACTCAGAGTACACTGTCTAGTCGCCCGCGCCTCCTGCCCACGCCTCCTGCCACGCACGCCCACGCCTCCTGCCACGCATGCCCACACCTCCTGCCCACGCACAAACAGTTCACAACACAAACACAATATAACCTGGGATCAAAAATTATGACAAAATATAGTATCTTAAATACGACAGACCATGATGGGCTCTCCCAGCTTTAAGTCAGCAGAGTGACAGGCTTTGGGTTTCAAAAGGGCGCCCGGAGCCGAGCCCTACATTCTCAGCACAGCCCTCCCTTGCAGGGCCTTGGTGGCCAGCTCGGCTCTCTCCCGCAGCAGTCCGGCCTCCTCAGCACTGTGGCGCGCCTGCGCGCTCTTGAGCAGGAAGTGGCTGATGAAGAGCTTCAAGCCTTCGCATAGCACGCCCAGCTTCGGGTTGTCGGACACCCTGGGGAGGAACCATCAGACCGTCAGGCATGAGCCGTCCACCGAGGTCCCACTCCAGGCCTCGGACAGGGAGACAGAGCCTCATTTCCTTTAAAAAGACAGTTCCTGCCCTGGCCGGAGTGGCTCAGCTGGCAGGAGCATCATCCCATACACCAAAAGGTGGCGGGTTCGATCCCTGGTTGGGGCACATGAAGAAAGCAACTGACAGATGTTTCTCTCTCCTCCCTTCCCCTCTAAAAATAAACCAAAATAGCCCTGGCCAGTTTGGCTCAGTGGTTGGAGCGTTGGCCTGAGGTCCGGAGAAACCCGGGTTCGGTTCCCGCTAAGGGCATGTACCTCGGTTGCAGTTTGTCCCCGGCCCTGGTTGGTCGTGTGGGTGGCAGCCACTCGATGTGTCCCTTTCACATCGATGTTTCTCTCTCTCTCTCTCTCTCTCTCTCTCCCCCTCCTGCTCTATCTGAACAAAGAATGAAAAAGTGTCCTCGGGTGAGGATAAAAAAAAATAAATAAATAAAAATAAAAATAAACCAAAATAAAAGAATTCTCAATGAAAAAGTTCACACACCCTATTTGCCAGAAATCATCAGCTTGCTACTTAGGCAGGTGTCCTGTTCCTGAATCTAACGCACAACATCCTGGCTTCACCTGAAGCCAGACGAGCAAGCTGCACGCCGAGGGCAAGGCCGGCCCTCCCCGGCCTCCCGCAGTGCACGGAGAAGGCTGCACGCACCTTGTGAAGAGCAGCCCGAGGTCTTCCACTTCGGTCTCCATCAGCAGCATGTACAACACTTTCCGTAGAAAGTGGACTCTGGGCTTATCCAGCTCACTGAACTCGATCACCTGACAGGGTGCAAGGAAAATAAAGTTATGTAGAGTAGCCAACCTTTCCAGCAATTTCTAAATAACTACCTGCCCCTTCAAATAAGGCTAGGTCCAGCCCGGCCGGTGTGGCTCAGTGGGCTGAGCGTCGTCCCCTGGACCAAGAAGTCCTGGTTTGATTCCCAGTCAGGGCACATCCCCAGTGGGGGGCGTGCAGGAGGCGGCCAATCGATGTTTCTATCTCTCCCTCTCCCTTCCTCTCTCTCTCTCTAAAAATCAATTAAAAAAAAAAAAGGCTACGTCCAGTTTCACACAGTGACCCGTGTCTGCGAGGCCACGGGAAGTCTCCGGCTCTGCTGGCGGGTGTCCAGCTGGCACCCCCCCCCCCGAATCAGGGGGCTGAAGGCACTCCTCTCCGTTTCACGTTACTCCCAGTTTCCGAAAGTGCTGCAACAGTCCCTCCTCATCCTTGGGTTCACTTTCCACGGTTTCAGTTAACCGCCGTTGACCAAGGTCCAGAAATAATAAATGCCCCAACCACTGGTATCATCGCGGCTCCCTGACCCAGGATGACCTGCAGCAGACGGCCCCCTCGAACACAGGGCCCGGAGGCCCACAGCAGCCTGCAGCACTGCCCGCTGCGCCCTCACTGAACCTAACTTATCAGCCCTGCTGTCTGTCCTCAGTTTCCTCACAGCCCGTCTCAGGACACCCAGGCCCAGCGGTCCCACTGCCCAGGCCCTGTGGCCGATGCACCGGCTCTGGTGCACCGTGGGTCCCATCTGTGCAACACCCTGCAGCAGCCCCGAGACCGCTCCTCCCCTCCCCCCCCTAAGGGAGCGGCGGCCTCCTAACACGGGCTCTGCCATGAGGTCAGGCACATTCCCTCCGAGGAGCAGAACCGTCGCTGGGCCTCGATTCGCCTGGGAAACCACATCCATGCGAACCTGGCTGGTTTCCGTGGCGGATACAACAACAAACATACTTTTCAGAATCTCAGGAAATGTACTACTTTAAGGCACCAAATATAAGTGTCGTGTCACCCATTCCATTGCTTTAACAACTTCACCGACTGCACAGACCTTTAAGATAGAAAGTGGAAGCGATTTTGTCTTCAACAGGTGGGCTACCAGATGAGCCAGATTGGAGAAATTAGTGGCTGGCAAATTTTCTAACTCTCGAAATTTGTCCCACATGCTGAACTGGAAAGTCACCTGCCGGGGAGGGAGGAGGAGAAGTCAGGGTCACTGGACCCCGCGCAGACCAGACCCTGAAGGCACTCGCTCCTCGGCCCGCCTGTGGCGCCTGACCCCCAGGCTCCGGGACACGGGCAGCTGCGCTCTGCCCTCGATCAGCAGTGCCAGACCCCAGGCCTCCGCCGGCGGCTGGGCTGGACAGCCCCTCACCCGCGACCGGGAAGGTGACATGCGGACACGGCTGTGCCCAGCTGCTCTCCCTGGACGACTCGGGACACTCACCACAGGTGGGGGCCCGGCCACACGCTGAGAGCACAGCGGAGCGTGGAGACCTGCGGCCTCCCGACGAGTTACCTGGAACCTCCTGTCGTAGCCACAGAGCTTGCTGGCCAGGAAGGCGTAGAAGGGGTTGAACGCCGCCTCCTGCAGGCAGCAGTCCACGAGGACGTGCACGGCCTCCCGCTCCTGCTGGCCCTTCAGTCCGAGCCTGCAACAGCGCAAGCGCTTCAGCCTCCAGACCCGAAGGGCTGAAGGCTGGCATCTTTCGGCGGCTCACGCCGTTTGGCAGCTGTTAAAAGGGAGCTGAGCCGAGGAGGTGGGGTAACAAGGCAGGAGCCAAAGGCCTGGCTCTGTCCCTGTCCCCACCCTCTCTGGCCTCAGTGTTCCCAACCGAGGTGAACTGAGGTGACTGTGGAGGGGACGTTGATCTGTGAGTCCTGTGCCACCTACGAAGGCAACTGGTTCCTGAGGGGCAGAAGCAGGGCCAGTACCACGGTGGCCGAGTCAGGCTCCCGCCCTGGCACCGCCATCCATGTGGGCTGGGCCTGCACCAGGACCCAGTCCTGGGACAGCTCCGTCTTTCTTTCCGAATTCGAAGTAAGTTAGGAAACTACTACAGATATGTTCAGTAGTACCTTGTCAAAGTAGTATGCAGGTACCTTTTAAATCTTATTGCAACTAAACACCAAGCAGTTTTAAATTTAAAATAAGAAAGACACCTACAACCTGGAGAAAAGCCAGCTAGCCAGCTAGTGAAGATGGACTAAAAACCTGGAAGTACTCGCGGCCGGGGGGCGGGGCGAGGCTGCTGAGCCGGACGCTGGTCCAGGGTAGGAGCAGGCCGGCCCAGCAGCCTGACCCCAGGGGCAACCTCAGCTCTGCTTACTCTCGACATCAGTTCAACTGGGTCAAGCGTTCGCACAAATGCTCACTTTAGAAGCTTCTCAAATGCATCCAGGAAATCCTCACTAGTCATAATTGTACAGAATATGTTTCTCCTGACGTCAGTGTTCATCCTCTGTTTCCGGGCGAGTTCCAGGATCTTGGCGCTAACCTGGAAAGAGGGGTGATTGAGACATGGGTCACACAAGTTTTAATAAGGTCTGTTACTTTGGTTTAGTTGTAGTCACTAAAGCTTCTAAAAAACAACATGTAGGATTGTGTGAAGTCACCGAAGTGTAACTGCACGTTGTAGGAACATCATGTATGTAAACACCACATCTTTATTCTCAGGCAACATCCCAGGAGGAGAACAACCCAGGAAGGAACAAGCAAGCCCAGACGGAGATCACCGCTGGACGTGGCGGTGCGGCCTGCCTGCCCGAGCAACAAGGAAACGAGACAGGCCAGTGGTCAAAGCCGGAAGAACCAGCGCAACCAAGTGTGACGTGGGATCCTGGGACAGAAAGGGTGTCAGGGGAAAAGAAGAAACTCTGAATACCATATGGGCTTCAGTTAGTAACAAAATACAAAGAGGTGCAAAGAATTCTGCCAGTCTGAGGTCCGGGCTACTGCCCAGCGGCCGCCTCTCCCAGGAGGCAGCATGCCTGTGTCTCAGAGCTGGTCTGCCTGCCAGCGCCCTGATGTTCTGCACCCTTTCCGGTCAACCTGTAACTCTTTCATGTTTTGGGACTTGAAACAAATCCCTTAAAAAGTAACAACAGAAATGGAATTAAATTGTATCGCAAAACAGTAGCAAGTTCTACAAGGTCTTCAGTGAGCCCGCATCTGCCCATCTCGGTAGCAGCCAGCAGAGTGAGGTGGCCGCTCCGGGGACAGCAGTGAGGCCCATGGTAGTGGTGAGCAGGTCCCCTACCGTGCCTGCGAGCGGCTTCTGCGAGGCCTTCTGCTGACTGCTGTCGATCATCGGGGCCCCGCTCCAGGCGGACCCCACGATCCACCAGCGCCCCGTCTGCTCAGCATTCAGGACGCTGTCCCAGGACACGCGCAGCTGAGACTCTGTGCCCGAGCCCGCGCCTCGCACCTGCCGGAAGGAAAGGAGTTGGTGAAACGCTTCGGTGGGGCCGGTCTGAGAGGCCACTGCTCAGAGTGCCGCCGAGTGAGAGGCCCGCTCCCGGAACCTGGGCTGAGGTCTGCGGCTCTGACCCCACCAGCTGTCTGTGGAAGGCTGTCACAGCGGGGCAAGAGGCTCCGGCTCCCAGGCCACACAGGAAGCAACCAAGAGGGCCCGGGATCCACTGCGTCAGTGACTCTGGATCTGACTGAAGACAGGACAGAGGACTGGCCCTGACTGGGGAGGGCAGTGGCTCTCAGCTGTGGCCCCACGTGAAAAATACCTGGGAGCTCGGACAAGCTCCCTCTCCTCCCCTGCCAACGCCTCATCCAGGTGGGGCCTCTTCCAAAGTGACCAGCAGGTTCTACTGTGATTCTGCTGTGCAGCTAAGTTTAGCACCACAGGCTGAGTATAGGGGACACTTAACTTACAGGGACTCCCCTGCACACGAGCCACTCCTGCGTCTCACCACAGAAACAGCTGCCATCCGATCCCTCGGAACTCTCAGCAACCAGGCACCTGACTCACAGCTCCAACCGCTGCCAGGGGTGCAGGGTGGGTTCATGGCGACACAGGCTCAAACCAGCGCAAGCAGAAGTGACTCACCAGAGCCCTTTGCAGTTTCCTCAGCTTCTCGACAGGCTCAGGGTCGTAGCCCGGGATCTTCCGCATGTCGTTGTTCTTCAACGCCAACATCGTTTCCAGCATGAACCGAATCTTTAAAAAAGAAGACAGAAAAAACCATCATTTCAAACTGTCTAAACAACTGACTTTTCCACTCAGTAGGAGACAAGCAGTCCGACGCATGTGGCCATCATGCCGACAGACCAGCGGTCTCAGGCAGGGCGCCCTCAGGCTGCCGCGGCACTTGTGCAGAACCGTGTCAAGGTGAACCCGGCACCCGACCCCGGGCGGGACCCGGACCACAGCTCACAGATCTGTTCCCTCTCTGCGCCCCTCCCCGCAAACTCCTCCCTCCAGGCCCTGTGCTCTCAGCACCCACTCCCCCGTTACCACTCTTTCCCACTCTGGCCTTTTTACTTTAATTTTTAAATTGGAAATAGTGCCACACTTACAGAAAAGCTGCCAGAACAGTATAGAGACTTCCTAGACAGCCTTTCCTGAGACTTCTCCCAGTGCTGACCGGTGTCCGTAAATGTGCACTGAGCGTGTCCGGGGCTGCCTCCAGTTTCAGAAGATCTCCACTGCCCCCCAAAAGGGAGCTCCAGACACACTGAGAGCCATGCCCAATCCCGCCCTGCCCCCCCACCCCCCAAGCAAGTGCTGGCTACTCCCCGTCTCTGCTGACCTCTGGGCAACATCGCCTTTGAACCACTCTGGCCTGGCTCCCCTGCCCTTCCCTCGACCGTGCAGCCAAATCCGTACCCGAAACTCCCCACCCTACAGCCCCAGGACCCCAGAGGGCTGAGACCACACTGCTCCCAGTGAACCAGGGACTGTCCTCGGGATTTCAGATGCAAGCCGGTCTTCCCTCGGAGCCATCTCCTGCAAGGCCCAAGTGAGCACACGGGCTGACCCGTCCCTCCCTCCTCCACGGTACCCTTCCCTCCCACCCATACCAGGACCGGTCAGCCCTAACTCCCACGCCCGTGTCCACTGTATCTGAGCCGATCCTCCCACCACCGACCCCCACCCCTACAGGGTGACTCCCTGCCGGAGCACCTCTATGCGGTAGCCAGAGTGACCATTAGAAAGCTTCCTACGTCACTTCCCTGCTCGGAACCCTTCAGGTGTCTCCAGGGCAAAAGCCCAAGTCCTGGCAAAGGCTGCTGCCCTGCTCCCCGTGGGCCCCACACGAACCCTGTCCTGCTCCTCACACCGCCCCAGGGGCTTCCCGAGCCCCCCCAATCGCGACTCTATCCTGATCAGCCTGGTTTCTAGAAGGGAAACCAAGGCCAGGAAGACTCAGGGCCCATGGCTGTCCAGCGCAGAGCCTCCAGGGGGCCGACACCTGAGCCCACAGCCCCAAGGCCTTCCTCTGTGAGCAGTTCTGAATGGATAAGTGTCAGACGAATCCATTCTTAAACTCACAAAATACCTAGTTCTTAGTAAAGAAACAAGGTTCATTCATACATTAAAGAGAAAACCATCAAGTCACATGAGAAGATGCGAGATTACTAGAAATGAAACATAATATTTACCCCAAACACTTATTTCTAAGTGCTGGTCAGTTTCTGCGCATTTAGGCCCCTAGGAAGCGTGTCGAGTGAAGCACCGTACCCTGGTCTGGTCCTGGAACCTGCCGCCGGCCCCACTGGCTTTGGCCTGGGTTTCTGCGATCATTTCTTTAAGGGACAAAGCATCGTCTTTCCTCAGTGAAAAGCCCACATTTCTCAACATTAGCAGGATCAGTTCGATATCTTTTTCTGTGAAAGTTCCAATGAGCTTCCTCAGAATGTCGAAGACGAGGAGCGAGTGCACCACGTGGAAGTTGTACAAGTGGGCAATGATGGTGAACAGGTTGTCGCACTCCTTGCCTTCGCCTCCCTTCTCGTGGACGTCAGCAAACTTCCTCACCACGGCCTCCAGGAAGTGGGCTCCGACCTGCACAGAGAAACAGACAGATGTCAGCGCAAACGTGGCAGCCGTGCCAGCAACACTCTGGGGCCCCTCCTCTCCAGCAAACGTGGATGTTTATGCTGAGAGCCAGCACTTCCATCACTGACGCATCGGTATACATGCGCAGGGTACACGCCGCAATAGGGCAACGCCTCCAACGCAAGCCTGAGTGCTCAGAGCCCGCCCGTGAGAACCCGCCGGCAGACAGCACAGAGCAACGCCGCGGCGCCCAACCTCCCTGTGCACACAGCCTCGCGTCTCAACGCCACAAGGCGGTGTTTTCTGGCCAGCAGCCATGTGGTTCCTTGGAGCAAAGAAACTGTCAGAAACGTCCCGGACGCATCTCTGCAACGCTGCACTGCCCAGCAGCGCTCGTTCCAAAGCGCAGGCTGACACGGGCCTGGAGAGGTGTCCACGGGCTGGCGGAAGGGAGACCTGCGCCAATGCAGCCACGGACCTAACCAGGACGACCCAGAGACAGAGAGCCGGTGTGACCAGTCACTCAGCCACTGGATGCGGAAGATGATACACTGGGGAACAGGAAGCCGGGGCGAAGAGCAGGTTAGCAGGGCTGGTTAGCCGTGGGTGCAGGTGAGCTCGCCCAGACAGGTCAGAACGTAACAGACACGTGTCACTGCCCAAACACAAAACTAGACGCTAGAGGACTCCAGCGAAAGGCAACGGCTGGGCAAGAGGGAGCAGCGGCTCCTCAGGCCGCTCCGACGGTCTGTGTTCTCTACTTTCCAAAGACGGAGGGTTAGTGAGTTAACGTGTAAACTCCCCATCTGAGCCCCCTCACTAAAGGTCAAAGTATAGTAAGACCACTACAGTATATTCTACTATAACTTAAAAAAGAGAAATTAGAATTCTGCAGACAGCAAGAAAAATTCAAACATAAAATATACTCAGATATGTTTTCAACACATGAATGGAATTATGGAATTTTACCAAAATTTAAATTTATTGAATGTCTTCAAAATAAAATATAACTTAGCTTAGTATTTAGAAATGGCAGCACCATTATGTTGCTGAAGTTATTTAAGCACATACGTTAATCTGACAGGATTTTAACACAAACCTGCAGAGACCTGGTTTTTTATCCTAAGTGACGTGGGCATTTCAGAGACAGACGCCATGGGCTCGTGAAACACTCTGGACTCCGCAGGACACTCGTGTCCCCAGAGTTGCAGTTCAACGGGCGCAGCCCCCAGAGCTCACGGCCCTGACGTGTCTCGGTGCCTCAGCTGAAGTACGGCTCCCCTGGGGCGAGCCCTCTCCAGTGCCTGTCACACCATCCGTGAGGGTGGCGAGAAGTGGACCGATCACCTCGCGCTGCCGACCCAGCAATTCCCGACAAGCTGTAGGCAGTCGGGTGCACGGCTCCCACTAGAACTCCGTGAAATTCTGCGTCAGCCAGAACCGCCTGGTCATGGAGGGCCTGGCTCTGACACGGGGGCACGAGGAAAGCCCTGTAACGGCGCCAAATTGCAGCAACACCGGGCACAAGGAACGGTGTGGCGGCTCATCACAGTCCGCAGCGAAGAGCGGATGGGCACCATGCAAGGCCGAGCACGGCTCCTGGAGACACCGCCCTCGCTTCAGGGGAACTGACTCCCTGAGCAGCTGGCACGCCCAGAGCCCAGAGGAGCCGGAGCCTGCGCCTTCCTCTGTGCCCAACCCAGTGCCCAGCAGGCCCAGAGGAGCCGGAGCCTGTGCCTTCCTCTGTGCCCACCCCAGTGCCCAGCAGGCCCAGAGGAGCCGGAGCCTGCACCTTCCTCTGTGCCCACCCCAGTGCCAGCAAGCCCAGAGGAGCCGGAGCCTGCGCCTTCCTCTGTGCCCACCCCAGTGCCCAGCAGGCCCAGAGGAGCCGGAGCCTGTGCCTTCCTCTGTGCCCACCCCAGTGCCCAGCAGGCCCAGAGGAGCCGGAGCCTGCGCCTTCCTCTGTGCCCACCCCAGTGCCCGGCAGGTCCTGGACTTCCCACCTTTCGGGCAGAAGCTGACTGACTGACCTCTGAGGAGCACTTACCCAGGCTCCCGAGGGTGCTCGCTACTGTAAAACTCACCAGGCCAACGGCAGAGGCCGCCAGCCGAGCCCTGGACACAGGCAGCGTCTGCCCCACACTGCGGTCCCCGTGGGGCCCTAACACCACGAAGGAGAATGCATTTTGGTGAGTTTGTGCATAAAGAGCCCTACTCTGTAAAAGCCCCAGTGATGCTCCTGACTGGGGCTGAGAGCTGAGGCTGGACCAAGGAAGCGGCCGGAGACCAGGGAGCGGAAGGCCTGCTGGCCCAGCTGAACACACGCTCCCGAGCCTTCCACAGCCCGTGTCTGGGGACCATCACACAGCCCCTCTGGCTTTGCTGTACTTGCAAAGTGGGGTTCAAGCAACATCGGCCCTACTGGCTGGAAGCCCACGAGGACCACCGTGGGGAGGACGTAGAGTCTGCAGACCACACCAGGGCCGGCCCTGCAGCGTGCTTGGCGGTCAGGCCCGTTCTCGGGACTGGGGCTATCAGAAGGCAAAGAAACAAAACCCCACCACTGAGGCTCCACACCGCGTAGAGATCCAAAGGCACCCCAAGCTCTTCCTCGAACAGAAAGACCATCTGCTACGTGAACACCACTGCGGACTCGCCATCTGCTCGCTTCCCCTGTCCACACCCTGGAACTGGACTGTTCCTCCCACACCTGGGATCAGCGTCCGGGGAAACGAGGGCACGTCGGGACGTCGGCCAGAGGAGATACACTGACACGGAACACAGACACGCTGGAGCTGACCCCACACAAAGGCAACCGTTGACCAAAGTCAGTATTCACTGGCCGCGGGTCAGAATACAACACAAAGCTGCCTCCAGCTGGACACTGGAGCAGCGCCGCGGAGGCACCGGCCGCCCTACCTCGATCCCCACCGTGCGGTGCAGAATGCTGACCAGGAGGACGTGCTCCATCACCAGCCTGCTGGGCATGGCCGAGCTTGGAGCACAGGCGCTCATGAGGACGCTGGTGAGCGTGTCGTTCATGTCCTTCCTACTGTGGGCCATGTACAGCTCCTCCAACTGCCCACTTATGGAGGCCATGTTCGGCTCACTCAACCTGCAGACATTGTCAAGACAGAGCAGAGCGGTGTTTAGAACTAGGAATTATTTTTCAAATCAATGAAAAAAAAGGAGGTATCAATACCACCAACCGCACGCCCTATTTTATGTGCACACCACCTCGTGAACAATTCTTACCTGGCCCAATACCTAGCATGCACTGTGTAGGACACAATCCTGAGCCCTACAATGTAGCCGCCGGCTTTCTAGCTGACAGGCAGCTGCAGTGACGGGCACACAGGACCCCTTAGACCAGAGTGTGCTGCACGGGTGCCCTGGCCCAGTGCCCCGGGGAACCATCCTGCACGTATGCGCTGTTGGGAAATTCCAACTTCCTGCTTTTCTCCCGACATCAAAATCTTTAGCTCCTGCCCTGGCTGGTGTGGCTCAGTGGTTGGAGTGTTGGCCCTCGAACCAGAGTCGCGGGTTTGATCCCTGGCCTGTAGGGATCATGTGGGATGCAACCAATCAATGTGTCTCTGTCACATCGATGTTTCCCTCCTCTCTCCCTCCCTCCTCCCCCCTCTATCTGAAAAAAAAGTCAATGTAAAAATATCATTGGGTGAGAATTAAACCAAGAATCTTCAGCCCTGGCTGGTTTGGCTCAGCGGTTAGAGTGCCGGCCTGTGGACCAGAGAGTCCTGGGTTTGGTTCTTGCTAAGGGCACGTACCTCGGTTGTCCCCAACTGGGGCTGTGTGGGTGGCAACCAGTTGATGTGTCCCTTTCACATTGATGTTTCTCCCCCCTCCCTCATGCTTTATCTAAAAATAAATGCAAAAATGTCCTTGAGTGAGGATAAAAAAAAAAGAACCTTCAGCCCTGGCTGGTTTTGTTCAGTGGTTAGAGCATCGGCCCACGGACCAGAGAGTCCCGGATTCGGTTCCCGCTAGGGGCACGTACCTCGGTTGCGGTTTGTCCCCAGCCCTGGCTAGGGTCGTGTGGGTGGCAACCACTCGATGTTTCTCTCTCTCTCTTCCTCCCTCTCTCCCTCCTGCCCTATCTGAAGATAAATGCAAAGATGCCCTCGGCTGAGGATAAGAAAAACAAAGAACCTTCAGCTGCTCAGCACCCAGGGGAGCTTTCCGTGCCCTGGTGGGGAGGAAGGGTGTGCCCTGGGAGCTGCGCCTGTGCTCACAGCGAACATGAACGTGCCGTTTGCACCACGGACACTGTTGTTTTTATTGAAAAGAAAGGCTTAAAAAGCAATGGGGGTGTGTGACTCAAGGGGTGACAGGAGCGCTGGGTGACACAGCCAGTTCTGTCTTGAGCGTGGGGTGGCTCTGCAGAGCTGCACACCCACAGACAAGGGGATGGACCTGTGGGACAGAGGGACACACTCCTGACCGGAGGGCCACTCTAGGCCATGACCTTGCCTCTGCAGGGAGGAGGGCCAGTCCTGCTGCCCCTGCTCCTGGGACTCCTCAGAACCACCACGTGGGCACCTGTGGTTCTCAAGCTCTGAAGGGCTCAGTGTGCCAAAGAGAAAAGGTGGGCGTCCTGCTTGTCCAGGTCTGGGTTTGGCTGCATCAAGATGGGAACAGAAAGGAGTCAACCAGTGGCCACAGCCCTGCCCCCTCACTGTGCTTTAATTCCTGGGATAGTTTCTATGTTTTTAAATTTTATTTTTTTATTATTATTTTCTTAATCCTGATCCGACGACATGCTTAGATAGAGGAACAGAGAGAAACATCAATATGAGAGAGAAACACTGACTGTTTGCCTTCTGTAACCTCCCCAACTGGTGGTCAAATCCACAACCCAGGTATGTGCCCTGACCGATAATCGACCAGCAACTATTTGGTGCACAGGACTATGCTCAACCAACGGAGCCACTTTGGCCAGGTAGTTCTCTGTTTTTAGAAAACAATGTCTGTAAGTGACAATGCAACAGTGTTGCAAGGTTACCTGTTGATTAGGCCTTGGACATGCTTCTTTAGCCTTTCTCTCTCTTCCCTCTTCTGGGCGTCCACCGTCTCCTCGGCTCGCCGCACATGAGGGGGGACGTACTTTCCCCCATTTTCACAAAGACTCTGCTGGAAAGGACAGAAATAAATGACAAAAGTCTACACTGAACAAATTGCACTGCCCCCTTGCTACAGTCACAGTTAAATGTTACATTCCAGAGATGGCCGAGCTGGAACTACTAACCACGGCTGCTTAATAAACACCGGGAGCTCGCTGAGTGCCCAGATGGGCGCTGGAGAAGCGCTCCTCTCAGAACCTGTGGGTTCACCACCTGCGCCGATGTTGATCCCTTTCCTGTCCAGTTTCCCCCAAAGTTCTCTGACCTGGCTGTGCCGCTCCGGGATCTGCCAACAGAGCCCGATATTCTACACTTTGCCCAGCTTTAATTTCCAGGGGCACAGCACCGTGGCACACAAACACCAGACGTACCACTGGCTTAGAGGGACAGTGTGCTAGAGTAATTTCAAACTTGCTGCAAACCAATATGTAAACTTACATGGACTCCGAACCTATCCACTGCTCACTATCTCCTAGACTGTCGATCTGAGAGTTGCTTATGAATCTGACCACTAACACGCCCTGTGCACCTGAGTGACAAGCCTCCAGGGCACCTGTAAGGACTATCCCTGCAGTTAGGGAGTTCAAACCAGCTGGAGAAAGCACGGACGCACATGGAAACGGTTACTCTGGAGACACCTTAGTTCACCCTGTATGTCAATCACACCTGAACAGGCTGTGGGAAAAACTAGCAACAGTTAAAAACAATGTTCTAAGAGAGGAACTACTGCACTCAGGAACTGCTGGGGAGAAGCGGGGCAGCTCCAATACCTAAGACTGGAGGAGTCCCAGGGATGCCTGACAGCACCTAACACCACAACCTGGAAATGAGGAAAGACCTCGTGAGCAGGAGTAACACATTTAGGGGCAGAATGATGAATTATAGGAGTTCCCTTTATTGGTGGCGATCCATTTCAAGCCCCCTACAGATGCCTGAAACTGCAGACAGTACTAAACTTTATATACAGACCTTTTCACTTAAAGGAAGCACTTTACAGCTTCTTTTTATTAATATTATTATTTACTTTTTTTTTTATTCTCACCGGAGGACATTTTTCCATTTTATGTTTAGATACAGCAGAAGGGAGAGAGGAAGCGAGAGAGAGAGAGAGAAACATCACGTGAAAGGGACACATCGAGTGGCTCCTCCCGCACAACCCAACCAGGGCCGGGGACAAACTGCAACCGAGGTACATGCCCTTAGCGGGAACTGAACCCGGGGCTCTCTGGACCGCGGGCCAACGCTCTAACCGCTGAGCCAAACCAGCCAGGGCTTTACAGCTTCTTTTTAGCGTATCCAAAGTGCAGGCATGACCACGCTTACGCTTGGGGCCATCACGAAGGGAAACAGGTTGTGTGAACACAAGGACTGCACTGCTATGGCAACCAATGTGAAAACTCAACGTCAGGGCTCCTCAGTGACTCAAGGGTGGGTAGCAGATAGAGACAATTCCTGGACCGGGCAGGACAGCGTTAACTTCATTACGCTTCTCAGAACATCGTGCTATTTAAAACTTATGAATTGTTTCTCTCTGTGAGTTTCATTTAATCATCTTTGGACCATGGTTGACAGCAGGCAACAATCCACAGAAAGCAAAGCCGTGGACAGAGGGGAACACGGTGGTGGGAAGGAAACACGCAATTCCACAGGCTGCCTTCAAGCTGCACGTAGGGGTCAAGCTGGTTTAGCGGACAGGGAAAGCTCATGCAGGCCTGGACTGCTGTGCTCTGGACTGGAAACTTGATTTTCCACGTGAGGTTATTCAAGTGAGTGTTTCAGAAAGACTCACCCCAGGAGCAGCTGCACAGAAAAGGCCTGGGGGAGGGAAGAAAGGATCCAGAACAGTGAAGGGCAGGGAACAGCCAGGTTTGGAGAGTGAGGCAGTAAACCTTGAAGGACGACCGGTGGGAATGTGCCTGGGACCACAGGCCTCTAGAGAGGATTTCCTCCTTACTCTTCATTTTGGGACTTCAAAAACATGAAAGCAGACAGAGCAAGCTATTTATTCACACTCAGCGCAAACACGAATACATCGGCTGAGCACTCCCTCCCGCCAGCGCTGTCCTCCGCCTCATTTTGAGGGGAGCCCCCCAGGGCCGAGATGGTTCCCACCATACCTGACACCCTGCGTCAACACCGTCGGGGGCATTTTCGCTCCTTTCTTCATCCTCTGCAAAACGGACTCTCTTTTTCCCCCTTTTCTCTTTCGCTCTCCCTTCTGCGTGTTCTTTCCCCCGCTTTTCCACCCGCACATCCTCCTGCTGCTCGGGTTCGCTCTGCGCTCCCGCCTCCTGCTTCCCGCTTCCAGCCTCGGAGTCATTCCCCGCGTGGCTCCGGGCCTCGGAATCACTCCCCGCGTGGCTCCCGGCCTCGGAGTCACTCCCCGCGTGGCTCCCGGCCTCGGAATCACTCCCCGCGTGGCTCCCGGCCTCGGCCTCACTCCCCGCGTGGCTCCCGGCCTCGGAATCACTCCCCGCGTGGCTCCCGGCCTCGGCCTCACTCCCCGCGTGGCTTCCGGCCTCGGAATCACTCCCCGCGTGGCTCCCGGCCTCGGCCTCACTCCCCGCGTGGCTTCCGGCCTCGGCGTCGCTCCCCGCGTGGCTTTCGCGGGCTGTCCGTCCGTCCTCCTCGTCCTCGCTGCTGCTGTCGCACACGCCGCCCCCGGCCCCCGGCCCCAGGGCCCCCAGGATGTAGTCGAGCCCGTCGCGGGCGAAGCTGAGCGGCACCGAGCTGGCATCGCCCTTCCTCCGGCGCTTGTTCAAGCCCAGGCAGCGCTCCAGCTTGCGGATCTCCCGGTCCTCCTCCTCGTTGGCCGCCAGCAGCGCGCGTTTGCGGGCGGCGCGGGCGGCGGCGGAGGGCCGGGGGCTCCCGGGGCCGTGCCCGGGCGGGGCGCGGGCCGGGGCGGCCTTGGCCGGGGCCTGGGCGGCCTTGGCCGGGGCCTGGGGCGGGGCGCGGGCCGGGGCGGCCTTGGCCGGGGCCTGGGGCGGGGCGCGGGCCGGGGCGGCCTTGGCCGGGGCCCGGGGCGGGGCGCGGGCCGGGGCGGCCTTGGCCGGGGCCTGGGGCGGCGGCGGGGCCCGCGCGGCCCGCTTCTCGGCGCCCTCCGCCCGGGGCCCGCCCTCCGCTGTCCTCTGCAGCCGGCGCGCCTTCCTCAGCTGCCGCTTCTCCTTCCTCGCTTCCCGGCGGCTCCTCCTGCCGCCGGGGCGCGCGCGCCGCTCCGCCCGGGGCCCCTCGCGGCCGCCGGAGGGCTGGCCCCCGCAGCGCGCCTGCACGAAGTCCTCCACCGCCAGCGCCAGCCGCTTCAGGGCCCCCGCGCCGCCGGCCCCGCGCCCGCCTCCGCGCCGCCCGCGCCGCCGCCAGCCGCCCCGGCCCGGCGCTCCCGAGCCCGTGGACGCCGCCATCTTCCGGACGCAGCGACGCCGACTTCCGGCAGGGGCGGGACTTCCGGGCGGGTGGCGGCGTGCTACGCGAGGCGCGGCGGCGCCCCCTCTCGGCCGGAGGGCGGCAGCGCAGGGGCCGCACCTCCGCACGTGTCCGCGCTCGCAGGGCGTTTGGAACCGACCGGTGGGTGCAGACACGTTCTCACCCAACACACGAACACGGGTTACCGTGGGGAGGCCCCTGCACGACTTGCCCCCGCAGGAACCGTGCTTGTCGGCAGGGCGTGGGTCTTTTCATACGTGGGTGCATTTACCTGGGTGGGAGCATGTGTCCCGCTGTTCCTGCGTGTAGACACGAGTATTTGGGGGAATCTTCATCCTCAGCTTGCTGTTCTGAGACTTCCGTTTCCGCTCAGCCTCCAGTCTCAGTTTCTGTGTGCGTGCAAACCTCTCCTGGGGTGGTCCTGTCCCCAAGTCCATGCCTAGGTTCATCTTATTGGGGAATAGGGCCTTTGCAGAGGTCGTCAGGTTCAGAGGAGGTCTTGGATTGGCGGGGCCCCATCTGCAATGACAGGTGTTCTTGTAAGAGGGAACGTGGGCCCAGAGGGAGGCCAGGTGACCTGGGACACAGGGCTGGGCACAGGAATGCATCCCAAGCGAGGAGCCAAGGAGAGCTGGCCACCACCAGGCTCTGGACCGATTTTCTCTTGCAGCCCCAGAAGGACCAACCCTGCTCACACCTTGACTTCTGGGATCGAGTATTTCACAGGCTGAGATGGGAGCCCTGGTGGCTGCCCACCGGCCTGGACCATGGTCTCCTAAGCTTCTGGAGAGAAGTGACAGGGGAGGAAGGGACTCCCAGTCTGGGGGTGAGGAGCAGGAGGAAGGGGCACCTGGGGCCCTGGCCCGCCCCTGCCTCCCTCGCTCGGTACCCCCATCCCATGCCCTGACTGGTGAGGCCATGGCTCATTTCCTCCCGGAGGGGCTGGGGACACGTGTGCAGGGCTGTGCAAGGAGGCAGCAAGAGCGGGAGTCACAAAGCTCCCATCTGTCCCCACCTCCTGCGCTGCTGCATTACTCAGCACCCTCCACCCACACCCAAGTCTCTGCAGGGTCTCGCTTCCGCGGTTACACCCTGGAGCCCACGCCTCTGGCTCATTCACTGATTTCTCTGGTGCTAACTGGGAAGAGGGGGTCAGTCACCCCTGCTGCCACCCCATTTAACAGGAGCCACATGAATTAAATTCGTTTATTCCCACACAGTAGCTGCTCAGTAAATGGCAGTGCTGTCCTCAGGGCCCCTCCCCAGGCCCCTCCCCAGGCCCCTCCCCAGGGCCCTCCCCAGGGCCCTCCCCAGGCCCCTCCCCAGGCCCCTCCCCTGGCCTTCAGGGCCAGGAAGTTCTGTTTCCTTGGTTCCAGTGAAAGGGCTGCTTGCACACATAAAAACAGTCCCCGAACAAACGGCACAGGGGCTGATGCGTGTACAACAGGGCAAGTGGTAGGGCCAGAGTGCTGGTGTGTACGCATGAGTGTGCGTGTGCGTGTGTGTGTCTGGGTTGGAGAGGTGGGTAGGGCCGGGCTGGGGAGGTCTGGAGACTGGGCTATGTTCTGTGTTTCTTCTTTTTTTTTTTTTTAATTCTCACCCGAGGATATTTTTCCATTTATCTTCAGATTGGAAGGGAAGGAGAGAGGGAAACATCGAGGTGAGAGAGACACAGAGACTAGTTGCCTCACACATGACCCCGACCAGGGCCGGGGATGAACCGCCACTGAGGTCTGTGCCCTTGACCGGAATTGAACCCATGACTCCTTGGTCCACGAACCAATGCTCTAACCACTGAGCAACCGGCCAGGGCTGTTCTGTGTTTATTCTGGAAGCACTGGGAACTTGTGAAGTGTTTTAAGTGGACAAGTGGGGAAGGGCGTGGGGACGGTGACCTAAATCAGTCTGCATTTGGATAGGATCGCCCTGTCGCAGGCAAACTGACCCAGGCGGGTCAGCGTTGACGGGCAGACCGCAGCTTTTGCATCACACGCTTGTCCCCCAGCCTGGAAAAAACAGTGTTTGGGGCTTTTGCCCTGACGGCTCTTTAGAAATAATAGCATGAATGATCTATTAAGAGTAATATAATATACAAGTTACAGTGTAACCTTTAACTCAGTGTCTTCGGCTGCTGTAACAGACGCTACACATTGTGTGGCTTAAACCAAAGGCGTTCATTTCTCACTGTCTGGAGGCTGAACGCTGGGATCAAGGCCCCGGCAGATTCCGTGTCTGGTGGGAACCCTCATCCCAGTAGGGTCTTCTCGCCCTGTCTTCACGTGGCGGAAGGGGGAGGGAGCTTTCACCTTGGGGTTTCAGATCCAGTGTATGAATTTGGGGGCACAAGCAATCAGCCCTAAACACGTGGGTTTACAAACTTTCTTGGTTTCAATGCATCAATTGATTGATTATTAAAAATTTTTTCTGATACAAAAATAATTCTCATAAAAAAAAATTATGGTAATCTGTATAGCATAGAGAACGGAAGTCCTCCATAAACTCTTCCTTCTGGGATATGTAATGCGGTCAATCTCATTACTGTTTTTTTTTTTTATCACAATAGGATACATTATTTGCAGTTTCCCTTTTGCTGTGGATGGAGGGGCTTAGGTCTCGTTCCACATCCTAGTCTGGTCTTGCAGCAGCCTTGCTGGAGGCCTGTGAGGAAGGCGGCATTCCGGGCCCTCCCCGGGCCCTGAGTCAGGATCTTCGGGGAACAGCCTCCCCAAGGCTTTGGGCTTGTTGACGTCCGAGCACCGCCGCTCTGACCCTCACTCTTCTCCGTGTCTTTATGGGCATAATTTATGTAACCAATCTGCTAATAGGGAATATTTGTTTCCTTTTAAAAACATATATGCTTTTTGTGTTATTAAGACATGCCCTGGCCAGTTTGGCTCAGCGGTTAGAGCGTCGGCCTGCGGTCCGGAGAGACCCGGGTTCAGTTCCCGCTAAGGGCACGTACCTCGGTTGCAGTTTGTCCCCGGCCCTGGTTGGTTGTGCGGGTGGCAGCCACTCGATATGTCCCTTCATGTCGATGTTTCTTTCTCTCTCTCCCTCCCACTCTATCTGTACAAAAAATGGAAAAATGTCCTCGGGTGAGGATAAAAAAAAAAAAAAAAAAAAGAGACATGTTATTGACCCTGGCCAGTTTGGCTCAGTGGTTGGAGCATCGGCCCGCGGACCAGAGAGTCCCGGGTTAGGTTCCTGCTAAGGGCACGTACCTTGGTTGCAGTTTGTCACCGGCCCCATTTGGGGTCGTGTGGGTGGCGACCAGTCAATGTGTCTCTCTCACATCGATGTTTCTCTCTCTGTCTTCCCCGCTCTCTCCCTCCCGCTCTGTCTGAAGATAAATGCAAAAACAAAAACATGCTATCACCAGCTTCCGTGTGTGTGTATGTGTGTGTGTGTATGTGTGTGTGTGTGTGTGTGCGCAGAACCGAGTCAGCGTTTCACAGGCTGTTATCCGAGAAATTGCTTGGGGAAGTGTATAAATATATATTTTTAATTAACAGGTCATTACAAATTTCCAACCCGCCTCTGTGCCAGCTCGTACTCAAATCGGGAGTGAGTGCCTGTCCCCGCCCCCCATGGACTCGTCCAGGTTTTCGTTTTTGCCTGGCTGCTAGGTTAAAGGTCAGCCCTGGGTAGAAAGGTCACCCACACTCCCTTCAGCTTCCGTCACCAGCCAGAAGCCACAACCCAGCTGCCTTCCCACCCAGTCAGCTCTGATGGAGAATTCAGTCAAACCCGGGTGCTGCCCAGTCCCTCTTCTTTCATCCTTCTGAGTGGTCCCCCCGGCCCACTTGCGGTCAGGGTGCTCACTCCGACCTAACCCTCTCCTCACCGACCCCCTGCAGAGCCAAGTGCACAGCCTTGCCTGGGACAAAAGACCCTCCACGTTCATCGTCTGTCCCCCGCCCCACCGACCCTGGGTGCGGCAGGAGAGATGGGGCTCATGCCTCCTGACTTCTCGTCTGCCCCCCTGCTGGAACGCTGTCCCCTCTTCAGCTTGCCCAACCCCTACTATGCTCAGAGACAGTTCCCCTGTGTCGCAGAAGCAGTCAGCCTAAAAGTCTGTGATCACTTGTCTCCCATTAAAAAAAATTTTTTTTTTCTTTATTGATATTAGAGGAAGAGAGAGAGAGAGAAAGACATTGATGAGAGAGAATATCGATTGGCCGCCTCCTGCATGCCCCCCACTGGGGATCAGGCCCACAACCGGGGCATGTGCCCTGCCCGGGTATCGAACCTGTGACCTCTTGGTGCAGGGTCGACACTCAACCACTGAGCCACACCAGCTGGGCTCCCGTCTCCCATTCCAACTGTGTCTGCCCAGGGAGGAGCTCAGTTCTATTCCTCAGCTTCCTGCAGAGCGTTTCTGCCCCCAGGGCCCAATTCCTGGCATGAAGTAGGCACTCAAGCGTTTGCAGGGCGCATGAATGAATGAGCCGATGAGTGACTGAGACCATGTTAGGACAGGGGTGGACTCGGAGCTGCGTCCCCCGTCTGTTCCTTCTGGAATGTGAGTGTCTGTGGAGCAGCTGAGCCACCAGCTGCAGGGACCAGGTACAGCGAGGGCGGCTCTAACCTGCAGTGACCTGTCGGATGAGACCCGGAGAACGTTTCTGCGGGAGACACTTCCCGTGAAACCTGGCCCTTCGCTGAGCTTGTCACCAGGGCCTGGGGCCTGTTGTTTATGAGATGGGACCTGCAGGGGGAGCTCACCATTGACTCCGTTCACCAGATGACTAAGGAGATGTCGCCGGGTCGTAGACCTGTGCTGACATCTCTTGCCCGGTAGAGACAAGTAAAAAAAAAAAGAAAGTCATAGTTATATGTTGCAATTTTTCTGTATTTTTAGTCTACAAGCCAATTGTTCATCACATGAAGACACTGATCTATAAATAAGGTTGAAAGCAGGGATACGTCTGGGTCTCTGTGGGCCCCAAGTTGAGGCAATGATCTGTAAATATATTTG